TGGGCGGACATATCTGCTTTACACTCGGAGAGCAAAACATGCTCTACTTCCCCCTACTATAACCGCACGGACTTTGCAGTATTTCGTAAAGAGAACAATTTGGGGGGACAGCAGACATTTTTAGTGCTAACAAAGAAAACGTCCCAAGAAACACTGTTTCGGATTTGTCTGAAAATCTTGTCGACAAATCTTTTTGTTCCCGACAGATTTTAATTGAATTAGGAAGAAATAAACAAGTTTGCCAAGTATTCTTTCGCAAAAAATAGAAATGCCACACAGAAAAGTTAAAAAGTTTTAACTTTAATAAGCTTTAAGCAAAAAACATTTCGTGTGTTTTTGAAGAGATGTACCTGTATTAAAAGGAAATGTAGCTGCCGTCGAGTTTCTTTATCAAAATTAATCAGTAGCTGAATTAGGTGAAACAGAAACACGGCTCTTTTTAAGCGCCTCGTAGAAAATGAAAATGGTCATAAAAATAATATAAAAATTTTTTCTCTCAAAAATATGGAAAAATTCCTACAATAAAAAAAGAAAAAAATCGGTATAATAATTGTATAAATAATGTAACTTCCAAGATCTGATTGTTAATTCTCCTCTCAAGCTGCTACACATTTCCATGTAAATTAGTTATGAGGATTTGGTGTAAGGTCAAGATAATAACTTCTACCTGATGTGTTGGAGCATTCTCATGATCTGTTTGCTGGATAATGTATGGATATGGTAGGGAGAAGTTACATGATAATCACTTCTGGGAGTTAAAGGGTCAAAAAACTTTCCTTAATTACCTCATGTCTTATATTAATTTAAACACAATCTTTCATTTAATGTTAAGGTAAACTTGCAAACATATATAATTTCCCATGCCATTATCAGACACTAGTACATTACCTTCAAACCACAGTTTAACCTAGTATAAATTTTTCCATACAAAAAGGATCTCTGTGTAAATTTGGTATGTTGGCTGCTTTTTAAAAGTAAACATCATAGGTTAATATAATTAAAGATGACTGAAAACAAAATTGTTGTACTTTTGACTCTTGTGACAAGGAGATGACCTAAAATTAGCAAGAGAGGAAGATGTGGTGGATGCTGTGGAAAGGGCAGCAGATGCTGTGGATGCATTCACCAGGGAATGGTAAGAGGTCTTTTATATTTGATATGATAAAGGTAGAAATATTTCCAACTTGTTACTCGTTGGCAACCTTACCATCCTACAGAAAATTTCCAGAAACATATATAGCATCAGTTACCAAGCTGTTATGTTAAATAATGTCTTGTTACAACTTCCTATTCTAAAAGCCTGGATATATCTGTATAATCTGCATAATATGTTTTGATTATCCAGTCAGATGTATACTCATTGCACCAAATCAAAGTGAATACTGATGAGATTCACAAGTGGCAAAGAATGATTTATCTCACCCAGAATTTAATTACAAGGGCGGAAGTGGATGGTGAAAATCAATCAAAATTGCAATGATGGTGATGGTCCATTTTCACCAGCCTCCTGCCAGTAAGCGTGAATTCAAAAGAGGGCAGTTCTAACATGGTAGTTACTAAAACAAGGAAAGACCTAAAATGACCTAAACTGACTTTGAGTAATTTCTGAAATGACCTTAAATAACCTAATGTGACCTTGAGTGATGTGGACAATGTGGTGTCAACAAAACCTGGATCAGACCGGACTGGACCGGATTGTTCATTTCGGTTTGCTGATTTTACATGGTTCAGTATTTGGTTTTTGGTTTTCCAAATTTTTCCGGTTTGTCTTCGATCTGGATGGTAATTAAGCGGTCATGATTCTTGAATAGCACCCGAGACTTTGACCTTGAAATGTAGAGCACTTAGGTTGATCAGTTTGTGAACTATGTCTTTCAGCGTACCTCATGTGCCAGCAATGGAAGAAGCTCAAGGACCCTAAGCAACTATGGATTGTGTCGTATTTTTCTTAACTTAAAGATGAAATAATACATACCTCTTGCCTGGCTTTATCCATGGTGGCACTTAACACAACACTCCTTGACACAGCCATGAAAGAGACTACATGGGGTTTTTAGGAGAAAAAAACTCCCAGAGGGGCCTGCACTCTATTTTGTCACGCAGACTTTATTTAGGCTTGTCACGCAAAATTTCTAACTTTAGTTTACATGATCTGCTCCGTGATCCAATCTGGTCTGATCCAGTCCAATCCAGATTTTGTTGGTGCCACAAACTCAAGGTCATTTTAGGTCATTCTAGTACATTTTAGAGATCACTCAAGGTTAGTTTAGGTCGTTTTAGGTCATTTTAGAAATTATTCAAGGTCATTTTAGAAATCATTCAAGGTCATTTTAGAAATCATTCAAGGTCATTTTAGGTCGTTTTAAGTCATTCCTTGTTTTAGTAACTACCATACTGACACAGGGGTATTAGCTGTGACACATACTAAATTATGAGTATTTGACATAGAAAGGGAGGCTTATCAATTTACTAACAAATTTATGGTAACAGCAGGCTACTTATTGTTTCCAACAGGGAAACAAAAAGAGGGAGCAGGAGATTGCATTGCAGAAGGCAATAGAGGATGGAAAGAAGAAATTGGTAAATATCATTTCTCAAAGATTTATATTACAAAAATAATGCCCATATCAATGATATCAATCATGGCATGATTGTCTGTTACAAAAGGAAATCAAAGGGCTCTTGGAGCCAGCTCATTCATGCTATGGCTTAAGTTTGCATTGATTTCTTGGACTTGCTGATTATAGGTACAGTTGAATTTGGTTTATGTGTACTTTCAAGACTTTTGGAATAATTTTTTTTATTTTTGGGCAGTTGTGTGATAAGAAAACTTGTGCATTTGACATGCTTAGAGATAATACCAGTAAGATGAAATTGAGACAAAGGTGAGGACTCAGCAATGTTCCTCAATAAAAAGAAAACAAATTTCACAGGAAGTTGCCTTGAAATGCCAAAAATCAACAGTGATCATATATCATATCAACAGATGAAGATCCAAACACAAGAAAGAGAAATGAGGTAAGGGAAGCATTGCAAATTAAAATGCCATGAAAAATTATTAGAAGTATGCTTTATTACTAAAACCCTACAAATAGCATGTTGCACTGTCATGTTCTATAGATAATAATTCCTGGCAGAAAAAATGACTTTGACTTGAATCACACATATCCCTTTAGGACAGAAAGACAGGTCCTAGGACCCAAGGCTCTTGGTGAGCATCAACACTAAAAGCAGACTAACAGACAGGTCCCTTGGGACGAGGTTCTTCATGAACCGTGACACTTGGGGTAGACTGATGGGCCCTTGGGATGAGGTTCTCTGTGAGCTGTGGCACTTGGGGCAGACTGATTGGTCCCTTGGGATGAGGTTCTTGGTGAGCTGTGACACTTGGGGCAGACTAATGGGTCCCTTGGGATGAGGTTCTTCCTGAGCCTTGACACTCAGGGTAGACTGACAGGTCCCTTGGGACGAGGTTCTTCAAGAACCGCAACACTCTTTGCAATTAGATTAGTTCATGTAAGTTTCAGTTTTTTATATTTAAATTTATCATACTATCTCTTTATTATAATGATCATGTTATTAAGGGAAGTGGGAGCTAGAACCAGTTGTCTTTAACTTTTGGTGATCTTTAACATAAGCTATGGTTAAGTTGCTAGTTGTTAAAAGTAAGTTACATGTGACTCCTGTGGGTGGCATACTTCCCTTTTCTTTCAATTTCATTTCAGGAATCACTGCCAGGTACATCTGGAATTGTTCTTGCACAAGCAGGTAAGAAGTATTTAACCTACCAGTAAGGATCTTGATTGTAGCATTGGTAAACATGGCCATCCCTGACAGTAGTTGATTCACTGGCATTCTACTGCATTCTATGGGATTATGTCATTATTATACATTGTCAGAGCTCTTGTGGTTATTACAAGGCAATGGCAGTCTTTCATCACAAAGTTCATTATGCTGAAAGAAATTAATCAGGTTATACAGAATGATCGTACTCTACTAAAAAAAATGCGCCACTGGATGTTATCGCCCCAAAGACCATGGCTTATGGACATTTCCTACAGGTCCTTTTTGCTTAGGCCCCCATTTAAACTGGCAATATATAAAACACTTTCTTCCTAACTGAAAAGTTGACATTGACAAAGAGGAAAGGAAGAAGAAGAAGAAGAAAGTTAATGTTGCACATGCAATATCGAAGACTTCTAAAAGAGAGCGAAAATTTAAGCTTGTATGAAACTCTACACTTTGCTCGTCGCCATGTTTACTTTACTTAAAGGTGTGGAAGAAGCGTCCATGGGTGAGAGCGCGGTAATTAAATAGAGTAGGGATCCTTTGGCTTAATTCTCGTCTTGCACTTAACATTAAGCAAAGTTAGAAGTACCTATAAGTATAAAAACTTAACCTCTTTGTATCTGCGATGTACACTCCATTTTCGACGGGAAATACTCTTGGAAACCAAGAAACTAAAATTAACCTCTGTGCTTTCTCGCATTCCATCTATTCATCTCCCGTTCACGACTTGTTCGCGGTTCCTTTGGGCATGAAAGCACAGAAGCACCCAGAGCAACTGTTTTTCCCTCGATTTTGTTCAATCGCTGACCAACTGATGTGCCTGCACTCATTTTCTCAGTGGATTCTACCCACACCGAAAAACCCTTCCGGGACCCTGAGCCCTCTGGAAGAAGTAAATTACGCCCCTATGCGTTTACTGCCTGGCGCAATCCTTCCTTCCTTCCTTTCTATCTTTTTTCCTTCTTGCATGCCTGCTTACCTTTCTTCCTTTCTTTCCTTCCTCGATACTTTCTTCCGTTCTTTCCTTCCTCGATACCTAGAGCCTCAATTAAAGAAACGAGCCTCGAAGTGATTCCATGACATGTGCCATTTAGAGTTTCTGATTGGTGCTCTCTGTGATCCGGACCGCCCCCTTGTCCAAGAGATTTTATGTCAGTAAGAATGAAAAAGCTGCGCAAAGCTCAATCGCCCCCCGTCAAATTCACGGATGGATTTTGCCAGCGAAGGTTGAAATCTATGGTCCTAATATATAAGTAACTTCGTCGAAGTCCCCGGTGAGTACCTTTGCTTCTCACTTTCACGCAATCGAAATCTGAGACTGATAAAACTATTGAATGCTTTACACCAAGGTAAAGTACTATTGAATGCCTTACGCCAAAGTAAAATACTAGAGTAAGTGCTAAAGTAGAATATTATTGATAAACGATTCGCCTAAGTTTTAGGGCTGTAGGGTTTTCCGCTGATGAGTTATTCGCCAAAAAGTCCGTCATAAATGTAATTTATAGAGCTTAGTATGGGGACACCATGTTGCTGCCTTTCCAAGGGGCACCAACGTGGCGGCCACGAGGGAACGGGTACCGGTTATCATGTTTAGCCACTAAAGAGATAAGTTATCCACTGTGAACTTACAAACATTCGTATAAATACATTATCCGATGTTTCAAACGCTTCGGGAACAAAATATCACACGATAGAATCATATTTTATATACGTTTCAGTTTTCCGGGCCGCCAATGTCGAGTCACAAAAAATTACGAAATTAGAGATGGCTTTATTTTTTCAAAATGGAGAACCCCACGGCGCTTAAACCTTTCCAAAGGTGTTGATTTCAGTTCGAATCGGTATACGGTTGACATCATACGATTCACTACTAAGCTGAAAGCACGCGATTCATTTTAACTGATTTTGTATGGAACATTGGTCTCTCAATTAAACGCTGTTTACATCGTTGTCAGAAATTCTTGTCGAGTTCGTTTAACACTACGCACTATTATATTCTACGCATGTGATTACTTGGATTTTGTCTGCTACAATCTATCCTTGTAATTTACAAACGGTATGTTATTTCTGTTGGAGATCGCTTCCTTCTGCTGGATACATTAGATCAGAAACCATTCTTTACGTAGCTTAATACAGCAAGAGTTTCAGCGAGAACAATTTAGGATCAGTCAGCATTTAAAACAATCGTGTAATAATGTAGGAATACAATATTCTGACTCATTTCCGAAGCAGAACTGGACTCTGAACCTGAACTCTCTCGTGCCGCTGAGGTAAATAAGTATTTGATGGCATCTCGGTGGGATGTCTACAAAACGAAGACCGAAGACCAAAGACCGAAGACCGAAGACCGAAGACCATAAAACCCTAATTTTTTTGCCCGAATAAGGCACGGACAGTTAAAAAACCAAGCCAAAGCGTTCCTCAGCGCAAACAGATGTGAAAATAACGGGGATTTTCGTTTTGTAGAAAAGACCCCCTGAATCTACAAAACGAAAACCCTTACTAAAACGCTTTGTTAGACCCCAATTGACGCGAAATCAAAGGGGGTCTTCGTTTTGTAGAAAAGACCCCCTGAATCTATAAAACGAAGACCCTCACTAAAACGCTTCGTCAGACGCCAATTGACGCGAAATCAATGGGGTCTTCGTTTTGTAGAAAAAGCCCCCTGAATCTATAAAACGAAGATCCTTGCTAAAACGCTTTGTCAGACCCCGGGGAAGGGGGGGGGGGGGAACTCCTATACATTGCCTATAGGGGTATGTGCTGCCCGACGGGGTCATGATTTCGGAGCTCCTGATTTAGAATTAGAATTTAGAACGAGCTATCCAATTTTATGACGGTGCCTCGCCGGCCCGAAGGGCCAGGGAGCAAAGCCCCATACCTATAAAAATTGGAGAAGCCTTTAAAACAAAAAAAAAATATGCATGGAAATTATGAAACCCCTGTGTTTCTTTTTTCATGGTCAACTTGGCCAGCGGTATAGCTCGCGGGCCTCTCCGACGACGAGGACGACAACGACGGTGGCGGTGGGGGCGGTGTCACACCAATATGGCAACCTCAGCCATACAAGCTTAATGACATTGGATATTCGATAAGTGGAATTTCTAGCACCGCAGCGTGACTCCGAAGAAAGGAATAAGGCAAGGAACAGGAGAGGAACTCGGCTGGTGCAATTCTGCGAGTCCGCGGACGTCTGAAACAATAAATTTGTTCGCAAATTGCAGCGATCGTTGAATTTATATATTTTGAACCGTTCGAGAATTCATTGTGGGAAAACGGGAAAGAATATCTGTATGTCGTGAAGTGGGCAAAAATAAGACACTTAGAACATTAAAATAAATGTGTAAAGGAAAGAGAGAGAAGAGGGAAAGAAGACAAAAAAAGAAAAATTCATTTTACCAGCCTCATCCGAGAATTGAACCTCAGACCTTTGTATTTCGTGGCTAACACCTTCACCATCAGGCTAAGCTGTCATAATAACGTATATAGTGAAATTTATAGTATATAAACAATTTGTTCATTGCGTAACATGAGTGAGCTAAAAACAGCTCCGTTTCTCTTGTCAGAATGGCATCAGTTTGAAAATCAACAACACAATTAAAACAAGATTAGTAAACAGTTTCATGTAAAGGTATTTTAAGTTAATATTCACAAAGGGAAAATAAAATAATTAGATTTAAAGATACTTGCCAAAAATTTGCAGAAGATTTGCGACATTTGTGGTACAAATACACTTTAAATTTTGTTTAAGACTCTGACGACAAGTACAAACCGCAAAATCATAACATTGGGCTCAAAGGTGGCACGTAGTCGAAAAATCGAAGCTCCGCTTTTAGGCCCGGCTCAATCTATATATTAACCGTTTGCTAGAACGGCGTATACATTTCGAACGCTCGAAAGCTCCAGTTTTGTAAGCAGACGTTACAAATTATTCAAAGAGAAATTAATTGCTATTACAAATACGGTTCAATGCGTCAACGAGCAAAGTGTTAACCCTGTGTAGCGCATCTTTAGCTTACGAGCATGGCCCTGTGTGTTTTAGTTTACGAAATTCTTAGAGCAGTGTATTATCAAACGGGGACTAACTGAAACACCTGAGTGCCTCTCCGGATGTCAGACGCCAGTTGACGTGAAATCAAGGGGGTCTTCCCTTTGTAGAAAAGACCCTCTGAATCTGCAAAACGAAGACACCCGCTAAAATACTTTGTCAGACACCAATTGACGTGAAATCAAGGGGGTCTTCGTTTTGTAGAAAAGACCCCCTGAATCTGCAAAACGAAGACCCTCGCTAAAACGCTTTGTCAGACGAAAATTTCATGACCCCGTCGGGCAGCACATCCCCCCCCCCTTCCCCGGGGTCCGACAAAGCGTTTTAGCAAGGATCTTCGCTTTATAGATTCAGGGGGCTTTTTCTACAAAACGAAGACCCCATTGATTTTGCGTCAATTGGCGTCTGAGAAAACGTTTTACTGAGGGTCTTCGTTTTATAGATTCAGGGGGTCTTTTCTACAAAACGAAGACCCCCTTGATTTCGCGTCAATTGGGGTCTAACAAAGCGTTTTAGTAAGGGTCTTCGTTTTGAAGATTCAGGGGGTCTTTTCTACAAAACGAAAATCCCCGTTATTTTCACATCTGTTTGCGCTGAGGAACGCTTTGGCTTGGTTTTTTAACTGTCCATGCCTTATTGGGGTAAAAAAATTAGGGTCTTCGTTTTTCGGTCTTCAGTCTTCGGTCTTTGGTCTTCGGTCTTCGGTCCTCGTTTTGTAGACACCCATCTCGGTGTGAATGTTTGTGTAGTTTCAATTTTGAGGAAACTATTCAGGAAAGAATACCCCAGTTTCTATTGGTTTAGAGAGTGAAAATTGAGTTATTGGTGAGTAGTACTGCTCCAGAAACATGGCTCCAAACTAACGTAGGTGAATGAATAGGGAAATTATACCATAACTAAGTATGTAGAGACTATCACAACTTGCTTCGTAGGCAACATCATAACTTAGATTGTTACCGGTTCTTTTAAATGCTCTGAATGTCATTTAAATGGCAGAACTGATTGCCTGTGACCGTACACAAGTCGGCAAACGTATGACGTTAACCTCGATCGATCAAAGGCAAGGAAAAGGTTAACATGTGGGCTGTAGGTAAATGCTACACGATCAACGTCACAAATTAAGTGAATGGACATTTAATATCTTTGCCAGATAGACGTGTATACCGATGTAAAGACGTGAATCGACTGAAAATAAATAACAAAATATCTAACTAAAAATTAGAGTGAATTCGTATAATCCGTTTGTTATTTGCTGATGAGTTTGTCACTAAATGCTAACAAGAAGAACAATTAAGAACGGTTTATGCAAATTCACTCTCACGATCAGATAAGACCGGAAAGTAGAGCGTCAAAGTTCCGTTGCCAAGGTAGAGGTGACATAAATGTGGACCGGAAGTGATAACAATAGAATAGATCACAACGATATCGTTACATCGTGGAGCAAAAATGCTACTACCACCCGACGAAAATCAGTACCCTTTGCAGCATCGGTTGATTGGGAATTTTCACGGCGAAAATTCAGCGGTGAAAATCTATTTGAGTAACTGCTCACCAACGTTCTTCTAAGAACTTAAAAGTGTTCTTCTCATTAGCATTTCACGAACGGGTTATACGAATTCATCCTAATATAACAACTAGAAGAACAATGACAGAAAGTAAATAAAGAAGAAATTAACTCACAATATGTGACATAACCACGTCAGCTCTTAAACTCTTAAATGAAAGCAACACGGCTCTAGCTACAGGCGGCCCAAGCTCCAGCTGTGAGATGATCATCTTGCGCAATAACAGTCATGGCGGAATTATAAGAGTTTGTATGGGAATATTTACGACCGCTTTAAGGAATAAAAAAATACGTCAAATTCTCAATAAAAATACCTCACCTTACTTCCACAGTGTATCGCTTGTTATCTGACCGTTTACTTTGATGAAAAGAGCCCTTTTTAGCGAGTTGTTCATTTCGAGGTTTTCAACGTACATAAGAAGGGACCCGTGGTTCTAAAACGATTTATTGACGATAACTGACGGTATGGTCCCCGGCGAGGCTCAGTTTGAAAAGGAGGTAGGGTTACCAAGCTGGTTTTCAACGGTCGTGTGTCAAGGTTGATATGGTCGTGGGCTGTTAAAAACCTTTAAACTAGAAATTTTTGAAGCAAACTGCGGCATAGTGTCTGTTAGATCCAAGTGTAACATTTTTTTTGATTATTCGTTCTTGCCTAATTTGTT